ACGCTACTTCACTGAAGCCTACACCACCCTGCTGCTGCATACCATACCCCGTCCCGCCACTGGATTCCAACTCAGACCGACACGCTTCAACCCGTACCCTTTTACCCTCCAATTCCTGCCCTCCCCCCGTTTCACCCGTCACTACTATGCAACGTCCTGCCACGCTCCACTCCGCGACGCTCCAAGCCCAGCGCCCGCACACCCCGAGAGAAAAGAAAACAGAGAAAGAAAGAAAGAAAGAAAAAGAAAGTATCAGAAAGAAGACAAACTTATTGTGTGTATCGAGCGCGACGCTATTTCCAGTTTAACGCCTTCCCTTTGCGTGCATTGACAGGTTTATAGCTTATTCGGCGCCTTTTGACTCGCGGCGCTCTCGCCGCATTCGCGAGCCTATTTATCAAATTTAAACCGCATCTAACTTAATTTCCTCGACGCTGGCGGCGGTGCGGCGCGGAGGACCGCGAGGCTGCGGGGCGCCGCCGGGGTATGCCGACGCCAGCTCAACTTCGTGGCGCCTCCGAAGAAGAAAAGCGCGAATCTTCGACGCCCCTTTGTATCTTTATTTTGATGTGAGAGTTAATCTCGAATGACGTATTCACTGCATCTTTGGCTATCCTCTCCGCCTTACTACAGATTTGGCAAGGCGATCGGAACAAGAGTATGGTTTCAATGAAGCGATTGAGTGCTCAAACTGTTGCAGCTCCGTCTTTTCGGATATCGGACTCGGAATCTTGGGAAACGACACCGTATTACTCGTATTTATTTTTGGGTTATGGCTCCTCTTTAATGATCTCCTGGTAAAAGCGGAACGTTTCCACACGCGCAAAATTATTGGGGTCCAATTTCCGGCATCAGATAAATAAATGAATATCGTCCCCTTTTCATTCAGGTATTGATCAGACAGTCATAGCTTCATATCTAATCTAAATGCAGGCGAGGGAGAGAATTATGTTGATACTTTAACAGTCACGACATGTGTCCACAATGTAGGACATGTCGTACACTCTCCAAAATGAGTTCAGTCTTTGAACATCTCTTTTTCCAGGAACATAAAATTAACATCTTCAATATGTAAAATTCTGGAAGGCTTAAATAAAGAGAATACGTAATAACGTACGAAATACTAAAAATTGGAGACGGTGCAATTCCATGGCACTTATTTATGTATCAGAACGTTAGTATGATCACGTTTAGATTTCTCTCTAAATTATTGAACTCATGTTCTAAATTGTATTTTTGACAACTTAAGTAACATTTCGTATCTTGAATATATTTGACCTACCATGTCAACGAAGTTTAATTAAAATCAACAATATCGTACATTTAGAAATGGGCATAAAAGTATTTACTTTAAATATACGCCTTCTAGCAATTTTATTTCATTTCTCATTATGTAGTATATGGGCAAATTGAGCTTATTCTTTGCGGAACAGTGTGTAAAATATTTGTTCTAATAGTTGTGCAATGACAATAAAACATCATTCCATAGTTCAGTACATTTCGATATCATTATCAAAGGCTCCATTAGTAGTATCGCCTATATCTCAGTTTGCAGTGCCCTCTCCTCGCTGTTAATATGGACACGGTACGTAGTCGCGCACGTAGCGACGAGCGTACGAGAACAAAGCAACTCGACGAGGACATCGCAGTCGCTTCTTCTAGCACCCTCCTAACAATAGCAGTGCCATGGCAAATCCAAAGAGGCGTGCGCGGGGGTGCGTGCGGCGGGGCCCGCGGCGCCGCCAGGGGCGCGCGCGTCGCGAGCCGTGGCGCAGGGCGCACCGGCCGGCCCAGGGCGCGCGCGGGGCGGCGAGCGGCGGCCGAGCGCGCGGCGACGCGCCACCGCGGGCGCCGGGGCGCCAGTCGCAGCTTCGCGCAGCCATTGGACGAGCGCGCGCGGCGCCCCGCGGCCCACACGCGACGCCCACGACGACCTGCTCGTAGACGGGCTCTGCGGCTGCTGCTGCTGCTGCCGCCGGCGAGGCGGCCCAGCGGCAGCCCAGCGCCGCCACACCCCGCCTGCGCCGCGGCGCGCCCGCGCGGACGAGGCGCGCCACTCTCACAGCAGCTCCTCCACCGCCAAGGCCGGCCTGCTGCAGCGGCTGCGGCAGGTGAGTGACAGGGCCCCGCGCAGTCGTCACCGGCGTCACGCCGTCCGCTCGATCGCTCGCTCCCTCGCGCGCGCACATCGATCGGGAGAGATATTGATTCCCGGCGCGCGGTCCGCGACGTCGCCCTGGCCGCCACGCGCTCCGCGTGCGCTATCTACGGCTCGAGCAGACTAACGAGGATCCTTTAATTAACCGCGCGGCGCGCGCGGTCCGCCTCACCGAGAAGCTCCGAATCCCCGGTGGTGAAGAGGCGAGACGTGGCGAAGTGGGCAGGTGGACGCGGGATGGCGGGAGCGGGAGGGCGGGCCGGCGCACGTCGGCGAGCGGGGGCGGGCGCGCGCCCCGAGATTCGCGGCGCGTGCCGGCGGCGCACCTGGCGCGGGGCGTATTTGATTGGAGCGCCGCCGCCACCACGCCTCCGCCGCGCCGCGCGCCCCGCTCCCGACCGGAGACACGCCGCTGACGTAACGGGTGGGCGCGCGTCGGCTCGCGGTCACGGGGTCACGAGTCGCGGGCGCCCCATCCGGGTGTCCGGCGCCCGAAGGCCGCGGGTCCTGTGCCGGCGGCGGCGCGTCCTGCCCGACGCCGCCCCGCGCCGTCCGGCTGGGGCTAAGTATAGCGCGCGCGCGCCGCAGCGCGGGCGGTCGGGCGCGCCGCCGAGATCCGGGCGGAGAAGCGCGACCTTCCGCCCAGCTGACGAGCGCGCACGTGCGCCCCACGAGGTGACGTCTCTCTGCTGCAGCGGCTCCGGCGCCGCCCTGATGCGAGCCCCGGCGGCTGCGGCGGCGCTGGCGGCGACGCGGGCGGCAGCGAGGCTGCGCGACTGCAGAGGCGGTCCGGCGGCGGCGGCGGGGGGCGGGGCGCTGCGGCGGGGGCGGCCCTCGACGGACCGTGGGAGGGCAGGGCCAGGCCCGGGCGCGCGCGCTAACGGCGGCCGGCAATGCAGCGGCTGCGCACCACGTTCAAGCGCTCCCGCACGCCCACGGGCGCAGACATGCGCGTGTGCAGACGTCGCTGGAGGTGCCCAAGGCAAGTGCGCAGCGCCTCCTTCGATGAGATCCAGCTGACGGCGCAGCGCCTGGAGCGCGCGGGGTCCGCGTGCGGCGCGGGCGCGTTGCTGCGCGTGCCCCGCGCCCTGCGGCAGCCCCGGCGCCCAGCAGCGATCGCGCAGCTTTGATTGCGGCGGCGAGCGCGGCGGCGGAAGCAGCTCGGGTGACACGTCCGCCGCTGCTGTTGCAGCCGCCGCCGTTCGGCTGGTGGCGGCGGCGGCAGCAGGCCGTGTGCGCGTCCCCGACGCCGCCTCCGCGGCCGGCAGCCGCCGCCGCCGCCGGCCACCGCCGCCGCCCTCGCCTCTCCGGCCCCGGCGCCGGCGCCGCGCTGCGTGCACTGCCTCCCTGCGGCAGCTGCGCGCCGCGCCGCCCGACGAGTTCCCGGCGGCCGCCTCGCTCTGTCGTACGCGTCCAGGCAGCGGCGAGGACGACGACGAAGGCGAGGACCCGTCCCCGCCGCCGCCTCCCGCCGCGCCCGCCCCGGCAAAGTGACGAACCGAGTTGGCCGTGCGTGTCGTCGCCGCCGCCCGTGCCCGCGCCCATCATGCCGGACGGACCGACGATGACGACGACGACGACCTGCTGACGGCCGGCGGCGCGCCGTGCCCGGCCATCCGCGTGACGCTGCAGCCGCCGGTGGCCGCGCGCCGCCGCTCCATCACGCGCCAGGAGGCGGTGGCGGCGTGCGATCGCCGTGCACGACACTCTTCCTGACGTGCCGGTGACGCGCGACCGCCGCCGCGTCGGTGGACAGCGCGGGCTGCGGGCCGGGGCACGGGCTGGCGCCGCCGCCGCCGGCCCCAGCGCGCGCTCCCGCTCCGTTCGACAGTCGTGCTTGCCGGCGGGCGAGGCGGCGCGCGTCGTCTGCGCTGCACGCTGAGCTGGCCGCCGTCGCGGCCGCCGCCGCGCCGGGTGAGTGCTGCAGGTAGGGCGCCCGCCGGCGCGCGATAATGAGAGCGCGCAGTTGCGGCGCGGTGGTGGTGCCGACGGCGGCGGCGGCGGCCCTGGCGCGGAGCGGCGTGCGGCGCGGCGAGGGTGGGCCGGCCGGCGGCTGCGGCGGCGGCGACAGTCTCGCTCGCGCGCGCGCCCGCGCCATGCGGCGCCGGGCTGAGTCTCCTGGCGCTGGGGCTTGGTGCCGCACCGATGCCTCCGCGCACCCGCTGCACGCCGTCGTGCGCCCTTTCGCCCCAAGAGCTCTTTGCACTGGCGAGTGTAGCGCGTTCTCGTGCTCTCTCTAGCTGTATGATTGTGTGAAAGACGGCGATCTCCGCGTGACGTCTTAGCGTGAATTTTTGCTCGTCTTGAGCACGTCGTTGAACTTCGTTTCTTTGCTGACTGACAAGAACACTGACTGCGTTTTCGTCATTATTGGTATTTTGGCAATCTGTTCTTCAAAAATTCCGATATAATGTGATTGATAGTATGCAAAAGAAATCCATATCAGTTCAACATACATAATACAACTTTATCGCGTTTTCGAGAAATCATTGCTTGCCACGCAGATTCAGAATCATGCATTGGCGGATGTTTTCTATGTTTCATTTGAGTGGGAAGGGCAATGCGTGGCAAAACTGGTTGTCGGATGGCGGTATCTTTTTTCGGTGTTTATTTGTCCGTCTGCCGAGACAACGAAGTTTCACATGTCGGAAAAGTTGGTGTCGGAGTCGCAATCGCCGCGTGGTCGAGAGGCGTAGTTTGAAATGTCTCCAAGCCGCCATGTGCCGCGGGTTGAATCCGCGCGCGAGATCGCCGGCGAGTGTGGCGGTGACGCCTCCTCCCCCCGTCCTTCCCCCCGCTGCGTGCTGCTGCTCCCTGGCGGAGGCGCGGGCGCCGCGCTTGAATGGGGAGTGCGTTGCGCAAGGAAGGCGGTGGAGGCGACGCGTCGGCGCGGACGGTGCGCGCAGGGACGGGCGCCCAGGCCGAGCCGCCCCGCCCGCTCCGCACCACCCCCGACTGGGGTGAGGCGGCCGTCAACGGGGAGCACCTGTGGAACCCGTCCGCGGCGTCCGGCGACTGCTGCTACGTCACCGACTGCAATGTAAGTGCGCCCCTCCCCAACCCCTCACCCTTCCCTGCACTGCGCATGCTTCAACTGGTCCCCCTTCCTGCTGCACAGGCCGGATAGCTTACGGTACCATCACATCCACTTGTTCCGGCCGAGGCAAACAAGAGGTTACTCTGTCTAATTCTTGCTGAAGTTCTCGGAATTCTGTAATTGTAGCTCCTCAAGGTGTAACTTTTACCAACTAAGAGAATAACATCTACATATACGTCTGGTCGGTCTTACAGTCTTATGAAGATCGTGACTGTTGTTCTGTTTCTTATCATTTCTACAAATGACATTCATAAATAAAAAAATCTCTTGTATATACCTTCCCTTCGCAACCCATAATGATCCATACTTCTTCAATAAGTTTTCCTCAGGTTTATTTCTCTTTAATAATAATTTCCACTTCTCCTACTTTTCTTCTACGTAGCTTTCATTGTAACATAAGAAACAAACTTTCACAGTCCTAAAACGTTTTTTCTCGTTTAAAATATGTAAGTACCCTTGGTAGATCATTCAATTCTGATAGTTACAACTGTGTCTCATTCAATACCGATATTTCGCTTACGAGGTCATCGAATCCGCGAATAAACGATGTGCCTTTTCTTTACCTTTTGGGTGTCGTGGAGTGTTTCACCCTGTTGTCCTCTAGGAGTGTGATATCTTAACCCACATTTTTTACAATCCTATTCCTGGAAAAGTTTAGAATACCTCAGATCTTGGGGTGAGAACAACCACGCTCTCTGTTGTTCCTAATAGTCACAAAATCTTCAGTCGTTGGTCTACATTTCGTAATTCTTACACAGAATATGAGGTCTAAACGCAAATCAATGAACTTGGTCTGCCAATGGCATATTCGGACACTTGACACTCCTAAGTTATGAAAAGTAGAAATTTGTCTAAAGTTGTGTGTTTCCAAAAGGAATTCTTCTCCTATCCCACCTCAGATATATGGGGAGTAGATAAGTCAAAAGAAAATATAAGTGATGTCGATATGTAGCAGACCAACATAATACATAAATGTGTGAGCTAAATAAAGTAAGAAAAATGATCACGACACAATCACGCGCGACACAATCACACAGTCCACGTCGAAAAATTCAGAAAAGCTTCATCCTCTCGGACGATCAGCGAGAATATACATGTGTGCTCTACTAATTTTACATGTTCTCATTGAAGTACATAAAGGCCAACAAATTTACTTTCCCCCCGCTCGCAAGTTCCCGCGAAAACACTGGCAAGTTCCCGCGCAGCGTCTCGGTCGCCCGGGCGGCGATGGTGGCGCCCAGCGCGGCCGCGTGCTCTGAGGCGAGACTGCGCATGCGCCCGCGCAGAACACCGGCCAACTTTTTCCTCCACTTCCGGTGACCGCTCAACAAACCGTTCGTGTTCCGAATCGCGTGATCGCCGCGATGGGGACAATTCGGCGGCACCGCGAGGTTTATGGCCTTGCGATACTGAATATATAGAACTCTTCCCTACATACCAGAGGGGAAAAAAGCGTTTAAGGTCAAGAGAGTAGGAAATAATGGTTTTCGATGACGTAATGGTAAATCTTAAAGAGATTTTGCGCTTCTCTGTTTGGAGAAGGTAGATATTAATTAATTATATTTTGAAAAGGGATTCGTACGATAAAGTCACACATTCAATGGCACTTGAATTTACAGTAGTGAATTCTCACATTCAACTGTACATTTATTGCCACCATTTCTTTCTTATCTCGACTCGTGCATTGCGCCATTTTGTAACAAAGCGACTGTTATTGCTCAAGTGTTTCAGAGTACACACCATTTGAGGTCGTATTTGGCCACGCACACCCTGATGAGTAAGTAACATGAGCTTAATTTAGCTCAGGTGTTTTATTTTGGGCAGTTTATCGAAACACGAGTACAAAGAAGCTCATGGATGAGAGGTAACTGTTTCAATTAATGATTATGAAAATATAATCAGTACATAATAAACTAATGTGACTGTTACGTAATACATTAGCAATTCATGTAAACAGTGCTCATAATATGAATAATCCTGATGCGTGATACCACATTGCAAACAATTACACTAATAGAAGAAATTCCCTCTAATAGAAGTCACTCTCACAGTATTATGTAATTTTAGACATTAACAAAGTGTAAATACTCCATTGGTTTACCGAAAGAAATTGGGAGTGTACGCATACTTTCTACGGGTTACGAAAACCCAAGGGCAATATATCTCACTTCCTCGCACTTCCGCAGATTACCAACATTCATTTTCCTTCTCCACACTTCCTCACACACACGCGCGCACACGTACCCATCCATCCATTTTTTAATCCACTTACCTCGCACGCGTAACTATGCACGTACACATACACACACAAGCGCTTACTTATGCACACACACACACACATGCGCACAATCGGTATACATCAACACCTGCGGCATTGTTCACCCCGCATGCGTCGACCGCAGAGAACAAGAGAAGAACAATACACTCAGGCAATAAACACCCTTTTCACTAGCACTAGAATAAAAAAAGGACGATCCATGAATCATGGATCGATTCCCGGAATAATTCGCAAAGCCAGCACCCGCCATTGTACTGAATCCCTTGTCTACCTGGAAAGCTAACACAGCTCGGTGATAAATGACTTTCTGTATATTGTAGCGAGAAATCTTGACAGCCTTTGGGCAAAATAGGTCGCGGCAGAGCGTGTCGCTCTCCCTCAAATCACGACGTTCATGTTTGTATTACGGCCTCGCTTTCGTTATTACTCTTTTTAATACGTCACAGCGCGAAACATACTTGCAGTTTTGTCACTAGCCGAGAGGAAATGCGGCTGTCTAGGAACGTCACGGCTCGAAAGTTCTCGTCAGCTGCGCCGCTCTGTTTTCAGAGCTTCCTCTAATTTCGAAGGCAAACTTGCATCGAGGACGGTAATTGTAGCTGACTTCATTTAGTGGCGCCGCCTTTATCAGAAACAAGAGAAGGGATCTTATGCTCCACCCACGTCTCTCTAGTCTGCACAGTTCCCGAGAAAGCAAAAGGAAAATGAACAGGCAGACATCAGTAGAATTGCATGTTTACTCAAGAAGCTTGAAGGTGGATTGTGGTCTGAAAATGAAATACAATGCACACGTTGCGCATTTGAGTGTGAATAATATCTATTTTAACTTCATAATCCTTTTTTTTTTCTTCTTTCGATGTGGATAGTTTGATTACCTTTTTATAATTTGGTAAAAGTCTGAAACAGAAAGACTCAGATCACAAATCAAAAATAATTGTGTAATAAGTATATTTTGTTTCACATATCGATATTAAGTTAAATTAACGTTCAAAAAGTTTACTTTGCAAAATAATCAAGTTTGTACTAATAAAAATGTGTGTAATTGAATATCATATAGAATTTTAATTTGTAGAATCATCGACAATAATAATTGCATTCTATTTTTTGTTCTGCTTGTATTCTATTGTAAACTTCAACCTCGACATCTCAGTCAGTATTAAACTATCATGCAAAAGCCAAACCAACAAAATATTCTCACTTAAATATTTGAGAATAAAATAGTCTCACTTAACCCATATTTCGGTCACAACGCATTTGGGCTTATTTTGAAAACAGTTGTACTTACGAGTATATGCATCTATTAATTCATAGAAAAGAAGAAGAAACATATGTGCTCGTGAAGAAAAGAAAACAGCAAAAGTCTTATTTTAAGTCACTAGTTATTATCAGAGCGTGATTATTACGAAAGAAATTATGTTGTTTTTTGATATTCTTATTTCATCAAGAGCTCCATTAATTGTAATCAATTTTTTGGTGCTAATCACACTTTATTTAAGGAAATTATATTCATTATTTCTAGAAACATAAACAAACATCGTTTAACTAATTTGTTATACAATTTTAAACCAATAGGTTTCTAGGGTTTTTACAAATTATTTAAGAGAATTTAATATTAGCATTTTCCTCAAATTCAAATTACATGAGTTGTAGGAATTTAAGATGGTTTGTGGTAATTTTGTAATGGTAAATGAATCGGTGTGTGTATGTGACGTATTTGCGTGCAGTGACTCAACTTCTTAGCGACTGTTGGCATTTGCTTGCGAGGGTTTGCTCAGGCATGCGAACGTGTCTCTGCATGAGAATGGGCGACTCACGAAGACAGGAAATCCGTTTTAAGCGTACGTATTCGACCTTCGTGGTTGTCAGCTGATTTGTGCGTAAACTAAACACAATACCATTGAAAAATGAAACACACCATAAGGCGCTTTAAATTGTCAAAACGATAAATGAACGTTGATTTTATAAGCAAATTCCCATCAAGATAATAGGAATTGTTTTCGAAGAAATTATCGAGGAACATCGCTTCACTCTAAAAATTGTTGAGTTTTACCCTTCCTCTCTAAACATTGACATTCAATTGTTAGACATTTTTTATACTATACCTGCAGTCAACTTTTCAGAGAGAGGATACAAATAGAATGCATTGAAAAAGAAGAGTATTCTAAAGAAATGGTAGACCACAAAATTAGAATATTTAGAAAAAGACTTTTAAGAAATTATTCACATTCATTACTTCAATTAAAGATGATAAACAACTAAATAAGTTGTTAAACTTTAGAATCATTTACATAATTTAGATTCGTCATTGAAGCATTCTAAAACAAAATTTTTTCTCTTTGTATGTCACGTGAACATGTTGTACGTTCTTTTTATATTTAAATGGGAATTTATAAACATTTTCACTTTTAATGGTCACCACACATAATCAGCGTATTGGGCAGGCAAGTGCGTCAGAATTATGATCACCCTTATGTTTCGTTTTAATGGTTTTGGTTATCCCGTGAACACGTGGTCAATAAAGTATTATAAAGTTTAAATAAATCTCTATTTATTTTAAATTCATTAATACATTAAAATAAAATTTCTTGTAATCATGTAAATTTATGAAATAACCGATATTTTCAAAGTTCTGGTCCTAGGGGCATGATCTTACCAATCTCTTCGT